AAATCACCACTGCTAGGTTTTCTGTGTTGATTTTTCATTTTGTCACATACCTTAGTTCTTTAATAATTTAGTTATTTAATGTTGTTGGTGACATTTTATTTATTTGGCATTTTGGTGAACTAAAATTTTTCCATGGAAAATGCTTCAAATTCTGAGACATTTTCAATTTGTAAATTTGTAGAAATTTGACATTTATCCAAGATTGTTATGCTTGACTTGGTTCTGAAATGAGTTTCTGCTTTTGAAAAATGTCTGGTTGTATTAATTACAAAAAAGTCAGGGAACAAAAATATGCTAACTTGAAGCAAATTCCATGGATTTCTAAGAAAGAAATGGTTTCAATAGGCAGCAGAGAAGTCGAAATTAACACATGGATTTTGTTATGTTTGGTCAGGATGCTATGCTAACAAGCTGCAGGATGTGGTTTTATATTCAGCAAACTGATGTGAAAGTGATGTAGAATTTGAAGTGAATAAGTGTTAGTGACATTACTGACAATATTTTCAACATATAAAACTTTAAACAGAAAGTGTCTACAGAACAGGAATAGACTGGCATGATACTATGGTTTATATAATACTATATACTACAATATAATACTATACTATATAATACACTACGGTTTTGTGGTATTAAAATAGAAATTTTAAGATGCATCCAGATTTCTTTGCTTTAAAAACAGATTTTTTTCAAACATTTTTATTTATGATGATCTTTAAGATTCAAGAAGGATAATAATTTCATTTATATAGAAACATTTTTGTATTTATTTATGGCTTTTATTGCGAAGGAATAAGGTATTTTTGGTTGTGGTTTTCTTTATGTTGTCCAATGTCAACAGCTGATCCGGTCATGGTTTTGTTTGTGGGTCAAATCTGTCAATGCAACAACTGGCCCAGTAATGGTTTTGTTTGTGGGTCAAATCTGTAAACGCCAACAACTGGCCCAGTAATGGTTTTGTTTTTGGCCAAATCTGTCAATGCCAAAAACTGGCCCAGTAATGGTTTGGTTTGTGGCCAAATCTGTCAATGCCAAAAACTGGCCCAGTAATAGTTTTGTTTGTGGGCCAAATCTGTCAAWGCCAACAACTGGCCTGGTCCTGGTTTGGTTTGTGGGCCAAATCTGTCAATACCACAATTGGCCCTGTTGTGGTTTATGCTGTGCTGGCCCATGCGTGAACCACCTCTGTCAAGCCACATCTGGGCCAACAAAGGGACATCATTTTATGCATTATATCAGCTGACAGAGTGTTAGTGCAATGTGTGGACCAGAAATGTCCACACAGAAACTATGGTCTCCTTTGATGCCACATCGCTCTTTACGTGCGTTCCTGTCGATAAGGCGATGGATGTGGTCTGTGTAAGATTAAAATCAGACATTACTCTAATGGCTGAGTCACACTACAAGACTTTAAACCAGTCGGCCGATTTTCAAAGACAGAGAGAGCTCACACGTGAAGATAAAAAAAATCGTGGAGCTACCAGGTTTGATCCTACAGTGTGTGGTGTACAGCCACACAGCAAGAGACAACCCACCACACAAGAAAAGATATTTCATTCATGATTCAGATGTATACCAGAGGAAAAACAATTCCATAGGACTTTTAACATCCAGCAGACTTTCTGTTGAGTCATGACAGTTTTTTGTCTTCTGTATTTGGAATCCCCTCCGTGTTTACATCACCTCACTTTTTGATTGGCCACACGTCTCATTCATCGGGCTGAGAGCTCGGGTGAACACTACACACACTGTTGATATCGGGCCAAAAAACCAAACATGTTGAATATAGATCACTCTTAACTCACCACCCACAGTGGGAATATCTGCTCAGATTATCTTTAGAGCAATCACGATCATCTGGATTTCCTTAAGATTGTCAGAAGGGCAAAAATAGGCCGATTTTCTTGTAGTGTGACACCTGCCTTAGCAGCAGAACCACTCTTTCCACAGAACAACTGTGTCAACTTCTGAAACTGTGCCTGGAATCAACCTATTTCACATATGGAAAGCAATACAATAGGTAGAAACATGGGTGTGCTATGGGCTCCCCACTTTCCCCTATTGTTGAAAACCTGAACATGGAGGAGGTGGGAAAGAGAGCTCTGATGTCCTTTACAGGTGACATCACCTTTACAGGTGATTCCCATCACCCACTGGAAACAAGTTAGGAGTCATCAGAACTCTGTACCACAGAGCAGACAGTGTCCCCACAAACACAGGAGCCAGAGAGAAAGAAGTCACACACAAGACAGGCCCTGGAGCAGTGCGATAATCCTGACTGGGCATTTCTGAAAGCAGACAAGAAACCCAAACTGGATTCCACCCAACAACCAGCTGAAAATGAAGACCCTTAACCCAGACCCAAACCAGACGTCATTCGATATGTGGTGGGCGTTTCAGAGAAACTGACACGTTTATTCTCTAATCATGATGTCCCAGTGGCTTTCAAACCCCAAAACACGTTACGACAAAGATTAGTTCACCCCAAAGATCCAGTTCCCTGGCCAAAACAGAGTAATATAGTATATGCTGTTAAGTGTCAGGAGGACTGTGATCAGTCATACATTGGGGAAACAAAACAGCCACTGTTCAAAAGAATGAGCCAGCACAGACAAGCTACTTCGCTGGGTCAGGACTCTGCAGTTTACACTCATCTACAGGCCAGTGGTCACTCTTTCAGAGATGAAGATGTTCTCATCCTTGATAGAGAGGAACGTTGGTTTGAGAGAGGAGTAAAGGAAGCCATCTTTGTGGAAAAAAAACATCCACTATTAAACAGAGGTGGAGGCCTTTGTGTCCAGTTGTCCTCCTCCTACAATGCTGTAATTGCAAATATGACTCAGCCTTCTGTGAGCAAAAGGTGTGAATCAGGGCCCCAACGATAACCAACACAACACAAAGAGGGGGAAAAAAAGACAAAAACAAGGGGACGTTTGAGCCCCACCTGCACTAACCACAAACAGATAACACAACACCAAAGAACCACAGCATCCAAACCAATAAGTCAGGTATTGCTTATAAGGCTGAGTTCACCTGAAACTCATCAGACTGAAGAAGTCTTTTGGACGAGAGACGAAACGTTTCACTAAAGAAGAACCCAATCCAGAGGCCCTACTTATTTTTCTTTTTGTTTTTTTTTCTACCTGGATTACTGAGATGCATCAGGACATTTTACTACTTCATGTTTATGATTTAAGGGAAAAAGAAATGTAAAAAGAAACTTCTTTAATCTGGTTAAGACAGCAAGGCCAGAAATGTCAACAAGCTCTTTTACAGCTAGCGGGCAAAATGTCAAATTGTCTCCTTTCTAGTTTTGAGGTGTTCATGAAAGGGAGGTATGTTGTGCGAGCTGGAACATGTTAATTCCCATAAAGACTGCTTGCTTAGTGAGAGTCGTACACATGCGGTGTGTCTCATATTTATGTTTATTGACAGAGATAAAGCTTGAGGTTCTCAGCTTTTCGACAACAAGACTTTTATAGTGTGACACCAGACGAGCCTCAATTACCAAACATTTTTTACATGCGGTATAAAAAAGTGAACTGAGTGCATTTACATAGTGCCATCCAGCCACACAAGCATAGGTGCTTTTGAATAACAGGGGACAATTTCTCAATTTTTATAATCAAAGTTTTTCAGTCTTTTACTGGTTTTTGCTCTGCAGGTATTATGACGTGTACAGTAGCTTTGATTTGGTCTCCTAAATCAGAAGAGGCACTTACTTGGCTCATTGGGGTCTCTAAAGTAGTGTATAGAGATGTTATTGCTCAATAAATAAAGCACTAAATGTTCGTTCATCACTTAATAAAACAGCAATCTCATTGCTAAAATAAAAGTTATTTGTGAAACTGTTGTAGTTGGCTGCTAAGACATGAAGGTGTTTAGCACAAAGTAGACTGATCTGTCTGGAGTCTTGGCTCCTGTCTCCATTCTTTTAAACGTTTATTGCGTCCTTTCAAACTCTGCTTTAACCACAACTCTATTGATGTTATTGGTGAATGTGGTGCCGTGACACTGTGGGCTAAACATTGCACGGTCACAGGGTTCCCCTGGTGGTGCAAAAGCAAACATACTGTATAGGTCTGTAATGGTAATGGTGCTTATTACTCTCTGGGAGTTCTTTGAAATACCTAAACTCAGTCGCAAATTCGGGGCTATACAGGGTTCATTTCAACACACTGTGCAGCAGCCAGGATTAAACCATCAACCTTTCAAGTGACTCTTCCTCCTGAGTCACAGCTGCTTTGAAATACACAAACCAGCTGCAATGTCTGATTGCTCTGACTTGAAAAGTGTGTGGAGACACGTCTTTAGAAAGCATTTGTTCAGGATGTCCTCTGTTCCTTCTCTGCACACGTCTAAACCAGGAGAGTCAAACTCATTTTCAGTGATTGCTACATGAGCATTATGGTGACCCTCAAAGGACCAGTCATACTCAAACAATAACTGAGCTCTATGTTGTATTTTCTGCATACAAACAGTTTGTCACATGGTTTAAACCATCTCAGCATTGTGGCTTAAAGTTTGTCTCCAAATTGCACAACCTAAATCTTCCCCATGCCATATACTAAGGACAAAAAGTAAGAAAATGAGTGTTTGGTTGATTCTTTCTTTGTTGCAACAATGCTTCTTGACAATAAATCTTATGTCCAGTAATTTTTCTTTTAAATGATGCCACATTTGTAAGGAACATGGATTTGTAGGATGAGCAGTAGAGCTCAGTGTGTTGGTTGCGCACATGAAAAGTTAGCCAAATCTTCTCTGCCAAACAGCTTATTTTGATGTTGCTACTGACTCTTGTTTTGAACTTTGAGCTGCCAATCAGGTGCCAACTATAAGATTTATTGCCAAGAAGCACAACAAAGAAATAACCTACCAAACACTAATTTCATAACTTTTTGTGCTAAATATATTAAGCTTGTCCACTTCAATCGCTCCCAGTAAACATTTGAAAATGTTCTCTCTCCACGTCTAACTCACTTCTCCCTTTGTGTTTGCAGGTCCTGCAGGTGAATCTAGTGATGTCCATCCTGCTGTATGTGACGGTCCTTGTTTACCTCTATGGTATCCAGGCAACCAACATGGGCAGCGGTCGCCATGGACAACAGCATCGGCAGCAGCAGCCGAGCCCTGACCCTTTAAACTCCCTCATAATCCAGCTCCTTCAGGCTGACCTGACGAGAGGGAGAACCAGGGGAAACCATAGCCAGCAGGGGAAAGGCAGGGACACAGAGCTGCAGGAAAGCCTTCCTCCTCACCTGAGCCACAGCTTTCCTTTCAGGGAGCAGGGCGACGAGGACCAGTGGGAAACCGGGGGTCGGAGCGGGGGGAGCAAAGACGGCGCGGCGGCGGAGCAGCAAGTGATGCTGCTGAACTCAGATCTACTCAGGAAGCAGAAACGATTTAACTCGCCTCGGGTGTTGCTGAGTGACCGGCTACCTCTGCAGCCGCCACCGCTGTACCTCGCGGATGACTTCGTGAGCATCCGACCAGACGGAGGCGCAGCGGGAAACAAGACACGGAAGAAACGCTACGCTGAACACCGGAGCTACCGCGGGGAATATTCTGTCTGTGACAGCGAGAGCCACTGGGTGATAGACAAAACCCAGGCTGTGGACCACAAGGAGCAGTCTGTGACTGTTCTGGCCAAAATTAAAACCAGTGCCACGCAGGAAATCAAACAGTACTTTTATGAGACGCGCTGCCGGACCCCCATGCCCTTCAAAGGGGGCTGCAGAGGAATCGATGATAAGAACTGGAACTCGCAGTGCAAGACTACACAGACATACGTTCGAGCGCTGACACAGGTTCGCAACTCCGTGGGATGGAGGTGGATACGCATCGACACGTCCTGCGTGTGTGCTTTGTCACGGAAACGTCACAGGACGTAAGCAAAGCATCACTGGGAGCTACCTTTCTGGAATTCCACTTCCTGTTTGGGATTTTACTTCCACAGCGCTCCCTGCCATGGGATCATGCATCATGGTTGGTGAACAGCAACATTCAGCTACAAACGATACTCCTCCTGAAGGAATCTCGGGTCCTTTTAAAGAATATTTCAAATCATTCTGCTGCAAGCTGTTATGGACAAACTCTTGGAGAGTGGGTGGCGAGGCGAGGGAAAATGTGTGTGTGTGAGGGAGGACTGTTCATATAAATTATTTAAATTATATAAAATGCATGTAGTTGATACATGTTTATCTATCTATATATGATGTACAAATATATTTGTGTTATTTATTGAAAAAAGTTATAAAAATGGATTAAAAAAACCATGAAAACTCACTTTGAGACTATAATACAAAGCAAGGGCTGCAAAAGGTGCTTCACAGGGAGACTCTATATGTGCCTTGACTGGTGTGAGGAAAAGACTTGGTAACAAGAGTTACTGTAAATGTTAGTGGTGAACTTTAGAGCAGCAGACTTATCTTGTCCAAATGATCAAATCCTGATATCCCAACAAAATGCAGTTTCTAGAAAAACATAAAATGTCTTTGCGTTTAAAACAACTATGATGCCCATTTAGTCCATTTATTCTTTTGGGAGGCAATTCTAACAAAGAAAACATAATTTTCGCTTGTAATATCTGACTTTGACCAGTAGAAATTAATTTATTTGTTTGGCTTATCACTTGTCACATGGACACTGTTCACTACGTTTTGCTGTCACATGGAATCACTGGCAATTTTTGTTTCTTCCATTGAATAAAACCCATATTTCTAAAAGATAGAGCTATTTTATGTCCCATTAACTATTTCAAGTTATGTTGGTGCCAAAGATTAGTTAGATTAGATCATATATATGTTATAGCAATGTGTTTTTTTTCAGTAATACATCTTTCTTTTTTTACCAAATTTGCTTTGATCTGCTTATTTTGCAGTTTTGTTGGACACGGTTTCAAACATGACAATATCATATAAACGAAGTACAAAATAGTTTTAAAAATTGTGTTTGGCTTTGACATCCAGATGAAACAGGACCTGGAGATGCAGTTGGACCACAGTGTTAAAAGGTGCTCTGTACCCACCAGGCATGGRCTGGATTTTGGTTTCAGAGTTTACCACAGTTTTTAACAATGTCCCGGTTTCAAATTCACAAAATTTTACCACCATAATTTAAACTGCTTTCAACAAGATTCAGGTTTTACATAGTAGCTTTTCGCATTACTCATTGGTTGTCTGTTTTCTGGACATTTTTCTTGAACATTTGAAGAAGAGAACATTTTAAAAAGATTTCAGTCACAAAAAACACTCAGACAGGATTTGGCCTTTAGATAATTGACACTCAAGCCTTTTTAAGGTAACATTGTTTTTGCAAACACATTTTTAAATTTGTATTTTGCTTTTATTTTACCAGGCAAATCCCATTGAGATCCAGATTTCTTTTGCAAGGGAGGCCTGAAAGCAACTTATTATACCTTTTTTGGTCTGTGGAAGGAAACCGGAGTCCCCGGAGAAAACCCACACTGGCACAAAGAAAAGAGGACCTTTCTGCTGTGAGGCATCAGTGCTAACCACTGATCCATCGTGCTGCCACATCAAGATATACTTGTTAGCATAGCTCATTGTGAAAGCTAATTAATTAGCTAACATCAGGCTCCCAGTGTTCCTTTATAAATAACAAACCAACAGATGATCTGTGCAATGAATATAATTACTTTAACCAAAATTTATCTTGTTTTATTTCTATATTTTACTCTGGTCTCCCACCAAACCAAACACATTTTATTCAACTGTCTTTTTCTCTGACAGGGATTTAGCCAACTGTGGCGATTTTGACTGTTCTTTTGCTCTGTGCATCAAATTCTAAAAAAACTACAAATAAATAAAAAATGATAAGCAATGTTTCTAGTAAATCTGTATGATATGCATTTACAAATAGCTACAGTGTAATAAAAATGTTGCAGTGCACAATACTAATTGGTTGCAATACGAGTATTTCTGTAGTCAGTTTTCAAATCTCGCCTTAAGTAATGTAATACAGTGAAACTATGGTATTTTATACAATCAGAATATCATATCAGCCCTGTTGTGGTCAGTAGTAGACCAGAACCCACATTGACAAACTAAATATCAGCTTAGTTTATTACCAAAAAATGCATGCTCTTCATGCCACACGCATGAATATAATAAAGCACTGCTACAACGGCGATGGAAGGAGGCAGAATAAACGGAGCTGGGCTGATGAGGAATTGATCGGAACTGATTACTGCGAACTAGCCTGGTTTAAACCAGACCCTGTCCTTCACTTTGCTTCGTACAAGGGTCTGGACTTGATGCATAGAAAAGCGTTTCCTGCAGGAGGCGTGGCCTCTGCTGAAGTTTAAAATGATTGGATCAGTTGGCTGCGATGTATGTCGCTGTGACGGAGGCTAAGCTAAGAAGCTAACCGGAAATTGCATGTGCTGTTAACAACCCTACTGAGAGGAGGAATATACTGAGCCAAACGAGAGAGCTGCTGCTTTGTCAGACAAATTTAATTTAATTTGGAAGCCTTATCAACACCGACTGGCTTCATTCACTTCCTCCACTGCCGTATGCTAAACTAACTAGCAGACACTGCGCAGAACATCGATGTCATTCAAAACTCCTCCTTCTGTTTGCTGATTGGCCCAGGTAAAATAAACTACAAGAGACTTTGCGCAGAAAATTGACGCTCTGCTCTCTGATTGGCCCGGTTAAAAATCTGCCAGCGAAATCCATCTCAATGGGAGAAGTCCCAGACGGAGCAGAGAAGGGAAACTAGAATTGAGCAGAGCTGCGTAGGAAGGCAAGGGCCAGGCTAACTGTGAACAGGTGAATGTGGGTTGCAAGACTGGCTGAGAAAAAAATACTGAGGAGCTGACAAGTAAGTGAGGATAGATGAACAATGGCACATGAGGAAAATGCAAACACAAGTGAGAAAAACTAAACACATGAATCACAAGATAGTAAATAAACCCAATAAACAAAAAAAGGCTAAACGACAAGCCCGTTACGTCACACACAGCAGCTTTTTGAAATAAACTGGTTTAGAAATAATGTCACATGCATTGAGTAAAATATGTAAATATAGAGACTTACACATGTTTTTGTCATGATTATCACATGTGCAACATATTTACCAACATGATTCTAAATAAGACAATTAGCACTTTTAAGACTGTAAAATAGACTGCAGCACAACAACAACAAACCATATCATATGTAGCATCAATATATCAAGTGGGGGTCAAAGGTGAAAACAACGAACAATATAAAAAGTATTGTTTCAGAGTGTGAACATGTGGTGCTTTTGTACGTGGAGCTCAGTTTTCCAGCTACCTCACATCCTGCCACTTGCTCAGCAGAGGACCGTTCTGACTCTGTGGAAATGTTGCAGGAAATATTCAGAACGACTCAAAATGACTTCCTCTGTTTGCAGCTTCTATGCTCAATTAAATTCATGTCATAGCTCTAAGATGTTTTTTTTTCCACAGTGGCACCTCTTATTAGTTATAGAATGTAATATTAGGAAGGAGGAAAGGCATTACATGAAACTGAATGTAGACATTAAAATAAAACCCTAAAACTAGTCTGATACATATATTTAGTCTCTTTCTTTTGGTATGTTCCAGTTAAGTCCTAAAATTAAATATAAACTGGAATAAAAATAATAAAACAAGAAATCTGCTCAGACAAAAAAGCAGTAACACCAGAATATCCAAACTGAAGCAAAAACAAGGTCACCCGGTATGAATCAGTTAATAATAAATGTCTCAGAGGTTAATATAGAGCACTGAGGTCTGTGTATTAAGAGTTAAAATTTATTGTGTATTCTGTGGTTTATATGGGGCAAAGCAATAAATCACACTTAAGAGAACTGATAACACTGTGCTGTTTGAAAATAGTCTGGTTTTCAAGAATAAAGAGTTTTGGAAATAAATATTTGGTTTTGTTGGAATGACGCAATATTAAGGTCACTTCTGTTCTGATGCACACGGTACTTTGGAAATTCGCCTGTTTTTCAAATGAGATTGTTACATTAACATGGGAAGGAGCTTGTGCCATCAGAAACTAAATTTGAACTGCTCAGACTGAATCTGATGCATTGGTTTGAAACTTAATTTCGCTAAATTGACACTGAATTCATTTGCTTTGAAACTATTGAAATATGGTATTCAAAAACAAAAAAATGAATGGTTACTTTAATTTTCATTTTAAGCTTCAAAAACAGGTAAACTTTTATTTTCCTAAAATCAGAAGTTTTGCATTGTCTTTATAAGCCAGATAGGTCGGAGCTAGTTAAATAATTTTTTAATACCAGGCAGCTGCATTTAAACTAATAAATAAACACTAGCTAGCTACGTTAGCATTTCTTTAACTTGCATACCATATTTTTTATTGGTACAGCTAGTCTGGCTGATTAATTTCAAAATCATTTATCTAGTTCCTCTTTAAATTGTCTAGTGACAGGATGAATAAACATGTTGTACTTTATAACTAGCTAACCAGGCAGCTACAATAAATACAAGCTAGTTGACTAGTTTTACATTTCTTTAATAGGTGTCAGTTGATAGTTTGTGTATCTGTTGCTGTGTTTCCATCAACATTTTTTGTGCACATTTTGAAGTATCACATTGGAAAAGGTTGATAGAAATGGCAAAATTTGAAAAACTTCGCAAAAAAGTTTTTACACTTGCTTGAGGTGGATTTTGGATTTTCTAATAAAAGAATTGTGGAAAAGCAGCGGTGGAAACATTTGTGTTGAATGTTTACCTCACAACTGATCAGCTGTTTCCACTTTCCAGATATTACCACAAGAATTATATTTCTTTCTCTTTGTCTCCAGACAGCATGTAACATTATCAATACTAATTTTAATGACAGAATAATTAAAACTTGTCCGATAGCAACACATTCCTGAAAACTTCTCTTCATTGCCCCGACTGTGGTCCCTGCGAGTTTGCAACCTCTACTTCCTGTTTACTACAGCCATGCGTAACGTCTACAAATGCTAAACTGCTGGTTTGACAAAAATTAAAAGACGGACCGTGTCTCAATTTTTGGAGTTTATAACGAAAATTGAATCCAATTTTCATTTTTCAGTATCTGTTTTTGAAACAAAAATCAAATGACTAAAAGGCACATGGACAAAAGATACACTGACACCCCCACATGGAATACTAAGTTCTATAATTCAATTTTTGCTTTCAAAATTCAGTTTTTTGTCCTTAAGAAAACCACGGAGTAATTAAACAGATCAACAGATTTATGTTTCACATCATTGAAACGTCCTTTACTGCAACGCAGGCATGAGGTTCACTCTCAAGGCAGATGTATCAGCCATTCTAGATGTAAAGTACCTATTATATTTGAACAATGATTTTTCCCTCTGTATGATCAATAATTATAAAAATTTGATAATGAATGATAATTTGAGCTACAGTGCATGACTAAATTAACACACAACTCTGACATGAGACAGGTGCTGGATTGCAGGACACATTGTAGTCAATTTAGCAACTTGATATATTTAGCACGTTTTCACGTTTTAATAAGCAACTACCAAAAAATCTAGCAATTTTTTTCTGGTGTTTTTGAGCTGTTTAGAGATGCTGATGTGAATGCAGCTACCATTCTCTCCCATGTCACAAGTTTCTTCCCATTTTATAACTATGCAGGTGGAAGGAGATCCATATCTGTGGATGCTAACTCATCCAGCACATCAATAATTAGAAGATTTTTCTGTGACAACTTCACTTCAACT